GATCATCACTGTTATAAGCAATCATAATGTAAAAAAAAATCCCTGAATCTCCCCCCCAAAAAAAATAATACAGTGTCACTATGGTGACACTGAATTACTTTGATGAGAGTATGTAAAAAAAAAAAACTAAAAGAAAAAAAATGTTTTTAAAAAGATATAAAGTAAAAAGGTTAAAAATTGAATACAAAATTATTTAATTTTTTTGCACTGTGCCAGTGCCGATATGTAAAAAATTTGTGAAAAAAACTAATTTTATTTAATTTCTTCATTTTCCCTAAAACTGTGACAAAAATTACAACTTCAAAAAAATCGCCATGCTTCTTTTTTTGTTTACAAACGATTTTATTTTTCAAGAAAAAGACTGTAAAGTAGCATTACATCTTCAAACAGTATATAAAACAGAAACAAGGCACAATTGAAATGTGCATGTCAGAAAGTACAATCGTAAAGTAAAGAAAAAAAGAAGAGAGAAAGAGAGAAAAGAATTTAAGTACATGAGCAATATAAATAGAAAGGTATGAAGAATTATTTGGCTACTGACAGTGTAGCAATCATGCACACAGAGATGGACGTGGTTCAACCATTTTGGCTCCAACCTCCATCTTGGCAAAGGATCATCCATCTTGTACAAACATATCTCCCCTCATTCTCCCCCTCCCTTTCTGAGAGTCACAGTGACATTTGGTCGGTGTGTGTTGGAAGTGTCACAGGCAGGCCAGGGCACAGCAGGCAGCTCCGAGCTATAAACCATCAGTAAGCTGGGTGCCGGGCTGGCTGGGAAGCTGAGCAATCTGGCACCTCATAAAAAGATATTTTAAAATCCATTTTCCCCTATGTCTCTTGGAATCTTGGAATATGAGAGACTTACATAAAGACCAGGCATATCTTCAGATTGGCCACGAGAAGACAAACAGTTTGATATGTCACTCTCCTTGGCTGGAATATATAGGAAAGCAGAAAATTACATCTCTTTAAGCCCTTCAAGTTTGTATTTCATATTTCATATCTAACCATTCCTCAGATGCTTCTGCATATTAATCTACCCGCGGGTGGAATGGTACTTGTGCCTAGGAAAAGTTATGAGCCAAAATATGAGCTAGGAGAGATTTTGGTTCTAGCTTGGGTCTCCGCCCAGACAATCCCTCCGCAAATGAGGCATTGGTCCTTGGCTTCAGAGACACCCCCCTGCTGGGGGAATACAAAATAGGCTGTCAGGCCTAAGAGTGTAAGTTGAAGAATTCTCCCGTTTAACATCAGAACCAACTTGGGAGACGTGCCCTTTTGCTCTGAAACTTGATCTGCTTAACCGAAGGCTGATTGGCAAGTACTTTACCCTCCTTTCTGTTACCTCTTTGCTGTGCTATTGTTCTATGTATATTTATATATATATATATTGGTTACATCTTTTCTCTGTAAATATTTTTATTGCACCCTTTTGACCTTTTAGTAATAAATATTTCTTTCTGAAAGTGTTGAAACTGTTTCTATAGCTCGTTAATGCAACTTACGAATTCCTGCCTCTAAAAGAGTGCTACTGTGTTTGTTTAACCCTCTGTATAACCTGTCTGCGGTGACAGTGCTATACAGATGATTTATCTCAACCATCATAGTGTTATTGCTGATATTGCCGAGTTTCCTCTTTCTCTGTACAAAAAGGAGGTGGTGGCAGTGTGAAGGGTTAATTGCGTAATTAACCTGACCCAGTAACAATTGCATTCAGGCTGCCGGTACATTGATTTGTGGTCCATTAGCTGGATCGTTGTGCAGGGTGCAGCTGGGCGTGGCATTGTTATGCACGTGACGCGCGATCGTCACAGACAGAATAACTCAATCAATCCAAACATGGGTGTTTCTTAATCATGTAGTAAATGCCTATGAGTTCTCCAAATTTCCCATTTTCTATCAAATAAGTGCATCTTGTCCAGTAAAGTGTAATGAATTCTCTCCATGAGCATCACAGCATCAATCCTATGCAGAACAGAAGCCAATGGTACTGTGAGGGACTTCCAGTGTAGGGCAATAGCCCATAGGGTGGATATACAAATGGTGTGGATTAGCCTCATAACCTCAGTCTGAACTCCCAAGATATGGGCTCCCAGTAGGCAGGACTGTACAGTCAGATACACCGGAACACCCACCAATGCAGAAGCTACCTCGGAGATCCTACGCTACACCAAGAAGAGGTCTGGACAGGTCCAAAATGTATGCACCAGAGTACCTACAAGGCCGCAGCCATGAAAACATAGGTGAGACATGTTTGGATACAAGACATGTAGTCTGGATGGGGTATAATCACATCTGGTTAATACCTTAAGGGCTGTCTCGTGGACAGAAAGGGATCTGGAGCTCTTACATATGTTATCCAGCATGGAATCCCAATCCTCATCCGAAAAGATGATACCACTATCAGTTTCCCATTTTTGTCTGTAAAGAGGGGGTGTGGGAAAAGAACTAACCAAGAGTTGACGATACATATCTGAAACAAGACCCCTGCCCCTAGGAGAGTCACGGCTAATAAGTTCTAAAAAAGAAATCGGAGAAATGTGAACTAAAAAAATGTCTGATCTGTCAATAATGATGATATTCACGAAGCGGGATAGCAAAGTGTGTGCGTAACATCTCAAAGGTGATATAAGATCCTCCTCTTTGAAAATCAGATAACCTAATAAAGGATCCATCATACCACCAATGAAACGCCTGCAAAGATGAAAAAGCCGCAATAAAATCCGGGTCACCAAAAAATGCTGATCCCGGAGAGACAGGGGAAACCAGATTTAATCTAAGTTTATATCGAGACCAAAGCATCAATGAATGGGCCACAATGGAATTATTGGTGCATAATGAGCAGGGGGGGATGATGGACCACAATATGCCTGGTAAATAGAACAGACGTATAGACTGAGATTCAAATCTGATCCACGGGATCTGGGAATTAATGGTCGCCCATTGTGATAATTGTGCGAAATGGGCTGACAGGTAGTAAAGCCAGAAATTGGGGAGACCGAGACCTCTCACCCATTGTGACCGGTATAGGACTGATAAAGCAAAACAAAGACGTTTATTACGCCAAATAAAATTGTTAATCAGCCATTGAAAGCGATCTAGGAATGTTTTCGAGACAGGGATTGGGAGTGCCCTAAATAGATAAAGTAATTTAGGTAAGATATTCATTTTGACTGCCATGAGTCTGCCTAAAAATAAGATAGGGTATCCATGCCAGATTTTCAACAGAGTGGAGAGGCGTGACACACATGGTGGATAATTAGCAGCAAATAATTTTGAGTATCTGGGAGTGAGGTTAATACCAAGGTATGAAATCTGATCTGTGGTCCAACGAAATGGAAAAGAATCATGGAGAGATGCACTTAGGGAATCAGGAACATTGATAGGCATAACTATTGATTTAGTAAAATTTACAGTAAGACCTGACACTGTAGCAAAGTCATTCAGCACTGGGCATAAATTAGGCAATGATACTAACGGGTTAGTAAGGAAAAGCATAACATCAGCATACATACATATTTTGAAATGTGAAACCAATAACGTGTAACCAGAAATGTCTGAATGTGATCGTAATGCAATTGCAAAGGGTTCCAACACTAGTTCAAATAATAAGTGTGAAAGAGGACAACCCTGACGGGAGCCCATGCCCAGTGTAAAAAATTCTGAATTACAGCCTGGAAGTCTTATTCTTGTTTTGGGGGGAGTCGTATAAAGCATGTACCCCAGATAGAAATTCTGCACTAAAGCCCATCTTCTGCAATAATGAAAACAAATAGGGCCAGAGGACACTATCAAAGGCCTTATGATGATGATCTTTAGTGTAAGTTTAGGTAATAGAGACATGTTAGCCGCCCCGATGCTTCTTACTAATTACCTTTTACTGTCTACTTTCCAAAAAATGGGGTAATTTGGTGGGTATTTGTACTGTCCTAGCACATTAGGGCCTCAAGAAATTTGATTATGTATTTGTATTTTTACCAAAGAAATATAGTAAAAGACATTTTGGCCTAAATGTATGAAGAATATGCAAAATTTTAAAACAAAGCCTGTTTTTTTTTTCAAACTTTTCTGTATTTTTTTGTTTGTATGGCAAAAAAAAACCCAGCAGTGATTTAATACCACCAAAAGAAAGCTCTATTTGTGTGAAAAAATTATATAACTTTAATTTGGGTACAGTGTTGTATAACTGAACAATTGCCATGAAGGGGTAAAACCTTCTGGAGGTTAATTAATATGGATGCAGCACAGTGAATTTTGTGTTGTGTAATATCTAAAGGAAACACATAGTATATTTTTCAGTGAACATATACTAAATTTTGTGCTGTTATTGTATTGTTTAACCACTTGCCTACCAGGCACTTATACCCCCTTATTTACCAGGCCAATTTTCAGCTTTAAGCGCTGCCACACTTTGATTGACAATTGCGCGGTCATGAAACATTGTACCCATATGAAATTTTGATCATTTTTTTCTCACAAATAGAGCTTTGTTTTGGTGGTATTTAATCACCACTGGGCGCTTTACTTTTTGCGCTATAAATAAAAAAAGTGCAAAAAATTTGAAAAAAAAAAAGTTTCTTTGTTTCTATTATAAAATTTTTCAAACAGGTAATTTTTCTCCTTCACTGATGTGCGTTGATGAGGCAGCACTGATGGGCACTGATAGGCGGCACTGATGGGCACTGATAGGCAGCACTAAAGGGCACTGATAGGCAGTACTAATGAGGTGGCACGGATAGGCGGCACTGATAGACAGCACTAATGAGGTGTCACGGATAGGCGGCACTAATATGCAGCACTGATAGGCAGCACTGATAGGTGACACTGATGATGGGTACTGATAGACGGCACTGACTGGCATCACTGCTGGGCACTGACTGGCGGCACTGACTGGCACAACCGCTGGGCACTGACTGGTGGCACTGACTGGCAGCACTGCTGGGCTGCACTGGTGGGTGGCACTGGTGGGCAGCACTGGTGGGTGGGCACAGGTGGGTGGCACTGGTGGGCACAGGTGGGTGGGCACAGGTGGGTGGCACTGCTGGGCACAGGTAGGTGGCACTTCTGGGCACAGGTGTGTGACACTGCAGAGTGGCAAAGGTGGGTGCACTGCTGGGCACAGGTGGGTGCACTGCTGGCACAGGTGGGTGATCTTCTGGGCACAGGTGGGCGGAGCTAGTGGGCGCACTGCTGGGCACAGGTGGGCGGATGGCACTGCTGGGCACCGATCATCAGGGCACTGATCATCAGTGCCCTGATGATCGGTGCCGATCCCCGCTCTGACAACTGCCGGTTCTCGGCAGTACTTTCCTCACGATCTGACAGCGTGAGGAAAGTGCAGCCGAGAACCGGCACTTGCACTTCCCTCTGATCAGCGTGTCATTGGACACCGCTGATCACGTGGTAAAAGGCCGCTGTGATTGGCCTTTTACCACATCACGTGATCAGCTGTGTCCGTAGGACACAGCGATCACGGAGATCGCCGGGTGCGCGCCCCCTGGGGCGCGCAGGAGAGCGCGTTCTGGGAGGACGTCATATGACGTCCACTCAGAACTGGCCGGCCGCAGTGCAGCCGTCATTCGGCTATCTGCGGTCGGCAACTAGTTAAGGCATTTAAGAGAAACTCATTCATGTGTAAATCTTTCACAGTTTACTGGCTTTTTACTTAATATTTTTTATTTTATTAACCACTTGCCCTCCAGGATTTTTCCTCTTCCCCCTTCCTGACCAGGCCATTTTTTAAATTTAAAATTAAAATTTTAAATTTAAATTAAATTTACGTCCTTTTTTTCCCTCAAATTGAGCTTTCTTTCGGTGGGTATTTAATCGCCTGTGCTTTTTTAAATTTTTTGCGCTATAAAAAAAAAAGACCAACAATTTTGAGAAAAAAACAATATTTTTGACTTTTTGCTATTAAACATGTCCAGTAAAGAAATGTAAAAAATTAAATTTTGTCATAAAGTTAGGCCAAAATGTATTCTGCTACATGTCTTTGCTAAAAAAAAAATCTCAGTATGTGTAAATTGATTGGTTTACGTGAAAGTTATAGCGTTTACAAATGGCGGTTTATATACTGGAATTTTTAAAAAATATTTTACTAGTAATGGCGGCGATCAGTGACTTATAGCGGGACTGCAGTGGGTATTCTGACACTGGGGGGGACTGACTTGGTGTCACTGACATCCCCAGTGACACCAATACAGTGATCAGTGCTAAAACGAGCACTGACACTCTACTAATGGCACTGGGCAGGAAGGGGTTACTATGAGGGGTGATCAAAGGGTTAACTGTGTGCTGTTTCACTGTAGTCACACTGCTTTAGATGGCTGTGCTGTGCACATCCATCCAAAGCAGTGTGCATGAGCTGACAGGGAGGAGAACTGTTTTGTTTACAAATGGTTCCCCTTCCCGTCGGAGATGCTTGGCAATCACTGGGCGCTGGCGAGTAATCACTGGCAGGGACCCGGTTACTGACAGATGCCGCGAATGGTGGCGTGGGTAGGGCACGCATGCGCCCCCTACCCAGAAATGCAAAGTCACATATATATATACGTGATTCTGTGCACCTGTGCCACCCTGTAGCAGTATAAGGGCGGTCGGGAAGCGGTTAAATTAGGAGATTTGTGTATATGTAGTTCTGCTTCACTCCATTAAATTACTATAAGGTTGATTTATTAAAAATGGAGTGTGCAAAATCTGGCGCAATTCTGCATAGAAAGTAGGGATGTAGCAATTCCATTTTTTATAACAAGTACTAGAACTGATTTTTTTTTTTTTAAGGACACAGCTGCCCACTCTTTAACCACTTTGGCCCTCACACCTATTCACCCCTTATGGATCAGAGCAATTATTACATTTCTGCTATGGACCCGTTTATCCAGCGATAACTTTGTCTTTACTTAAGATAACAATGTAATACATATATTGTTCTATTACGGACAAACAAGGCTCTCTTTTCGTGAATATAGTCTTGCAACAATGATATTTTTCAGAATCCTTTGACAAATGTAACAAAACTAAAAAAAAATAAAAATTTTCTTTTATACCCTTCCTGCCCAGGCCAATTTTCAGCTTTCAGTGAATGACATTTGAATTTTTTCAGATAAATAGAGCTTTCTTTTGGTGGTATTTCATCACCACTGGGTGTTTTATTTTTTTCTAAACAAATAAAAAAAACAAGTTTTTCTTAGTTTCTATTATAAAATTGTGCAAACAGGTAGTTTTTCTCCTTCACTGATGTGCGCTGATGAGGCTGCACTGATGGGCATTGATAGGCAGCACTTATGGGCACTGATAGGCAGCACTCAATGGCACTGATGAGGCGGCACTGGTAGGCAGCACTAAAGGCCACTAATAGGCTGCACTGAAAAGGTAGCACTCAGGGGCGTATCTGCTGTGAGGCAAACAAGGCATTTGCCTTGGGTAGCAGTTTTCAGGGGGGCAACACTGCCCCCAGGCAGAAGGGACAAGGGACCAGGTCTTGGCAGGTCGAGAGAGCTCGGCAGGGCTCGGGCAGGAGGCAGGCTCAGGCGGAATGCAGGGTTTAGGCAGTTGGACAGGCTCAGCAAGTCTTGATCAGGGAAGATGAGCTCGGCTTATACCATCCTGAGTTAATGTCAAGCCAGCTGTCTTACCCTTTCTGTGCCTTCTCGCAGCGCTGATTCCCTTTTGCACCCACTGACATTAAGATCCGGCAGGAAGCCCAGGCCCGGACTGACCATTGCAGCTAAGCTCCGCTCACCTGGCTTCTCTGCAGCCAGCCAGCTGTCAATTCCATTCACTGCATAGGGCTGGAGGGCGGAGCCTAGAGGTCAGCTGACCAGAAGAGATGGTGCAGGAGAGGAGACCATTGCTGCATGTCAGGTATTAGTGCAGCTGCAGACACCACTCTTTTCCTCTCTTCTCATCTCTCTCTCACTTCTCCTCTCTCTCTCCCTCTCTCTTCTCCTCGTTCTCCCTCTCTCTTCTCCTCTCTCTCTTCCCCTCTCTTCTTTCTCTCTCCCTCTCTCTCTCCTCTCTCTCTCTCTCTCTCTCTCTCCTCTCTCTCTCTTCCCCTCTCTCTTCTCCTTTCTCTCTCCCTCTCTCTTCTCCTCTCTCTCCATCTCTCTTCTCCTCTATATCCCTCTCTCTTCTCCTCTCTCTCTCTCTCTCTCTCTCATTTTGCACAAGATAAAAGTAATCTGGGGGCTAACAAGCCGCTGGATTACTTTTACAGGTGGCAGAAGGGCGTACCTCCCCCTCCTGCTGCCAACGCCTTTACCAGGCTCTACCATGCAGTCCCAATGCAAACGATCAGACTGATCTATGTCTGATCGCATGCATTGGGAGACCAGAGGAGAGATTTGGGGTCTAATAGACCCTAGATCTCCAAAAACAGGAACAATCATGGCCCATGCTATCACAAGGGATGTTTTTCATCCCTTGTAATAGAAATAAAGTTGATTAAAAAAAAAGTTAAAGGTACAGCGTACAAAAAAAAAAATTTAAATAAAGAAATAATAAAACAGTAAAAAAAAAATTAAAGCACCCCCGGTCCCCCATGCTCACGCGCACATAGGTCACATAGGTAACTCTAAACTGGTAACTTGTAAACGCTTTTAAAATGTTGCCTATGGAGATTTTTAGGTACCATAATTTGACACCAAGTGGTATACCGTGGCTGGCGTGGGACAAATTCAGACGTGGGGGGGCACTCGATTTTAGTCTTGCTGGGGGGGGGCAATTTTAGTCTTGCCTATAGCAGCACAAAACCAAAATGCATCACTGGTAGCATTGATGAGGTGGCACTGATGAGGTTGCACTGACATGCAACACTGATGGGCAGTGATAGGCGGCAATGATGGGCAGTGATAGGCGGCACTGATGGGCACAGATTGGCAGCACTGATGTACATAGATTGGCAGCACTGATGGGCACAGCTTGGCAGGCCTACTGGGCACAGATTGGCAGCACTGCTGGGCACTGATGGGCACTTTTGGGGCTGCACTGATAATCACAGTACTGACAATCAGTGCCCTGATTATCAGTGTAGATGTCTCTTTTAACACTTGCTGGTTATCTGCAGTACTTTCTTCAAGCGATCATAGAGAGCACCGGATGCGTGCTGCTGGGGGCTCACAGGGGGCTTTGTTCGGGGAGCACATCATATGACGCCCTCCCAGGACTGGACAAACACAGTGTAGCCATCATTTGGCTATAGCACGGTTAACAAGTGGTTAAAAATAAATAGTGTTACTGTATATAAAAAAGTATGCATTTTATTCTGTAATTTGCCATGTTTAAAATGACACTAAAATTATGATTCTGATACAAAGCACTGAAAAGTTATTTACAAATTTTGTGCTTTTTTCAATGTGAAACATGTAAATGTATGCTAAAGGTGTAAAAAATTAACATACAAAGCAAACAAAAACAAAGAAAGTCTTATTTTTTTATATATATAAATTAACAAAAGGAGGAGTTAATGATGGCTGATTAGAGTACATTAAGGGTTAATAAGGGGTTAAACAGAAACAAATAATTTTTTTAAAAAAACAAGCAAAAACCTCCCTTTTTTTTAACGACTGGTTGTTTATAAACTGACATCTGCGGATGGAAGTTCATCCCTTTGATCCGTAGATTAATAAACAAAGATACAAAATGAAACAATGTTTCTTTTTATCTTTCTGTTTAAGTCACTGGTCACACCACTGCAATTTAAAATCATTAATTTTGTGTGCAATTTCAGGTGCGATTTCTGACGACTACCCCGTTCACACCAGGTGCAACTAGCCATGTGATATGCCATGCAACTTGCAAATAGCATGGCAAGTCTCACCCTATTGTCTGCAATTACAAGGGTCATATTGGTGTGATTCTGACTTGGTCGGAGCCACACTAATTTCTAAAGTAGTGAATTCACTACTTTAGGTGCAACTTACATAGACATCTGTGTCTTGCAAGCTGCAGATGTCTTGTAAGTCGCACCTGAAGTTGGAATGACATCCGACTTTGAAATTGTGCGACTTCACTGATATGCAATTTGCGTACTATGCAACTTGCAAATCACATGCCAAGCCACACCCTATTGTCTGCAATTGGAGCGGTCATATCAGTGCGATGCCGACTTGGCTGGAGTCACACCGATTTTCTAAAGTGGTGCATGCACTACTTTTGGTGCGATATGCATAGATATCTGTCAGATGTCTTGCAAATCGCACCTGAAATGGGCATGTCATCTGACTTTGAAATTGTGTGACTTCACTGTAACTCTCATAATTTCAAAGTCAGGTTCAGTGTGACTGGGGTGTAAATCAGTGTTGTTTTTTCTATTTGATTGATTGCTGATCATTTAGATCAAATCACACAATTATCAGACAAAAAGTCCCTGGTTACACGGATTCTGACTTTGAAATCGTGTGACTTACAGTGCAGTTGCATGATTTCAAAGTTGGATGACATGCCGATCTCAGGTGCAATTTGCAAGACATCTGACACAGATGTCTATGCAAATCTCACCAAAAGCAGTGCATGCACTACTTTAGAAATCGGTGCGGCAGCAACCAAGTCGGAACCATACCGATATGACCGCTGTAATTGCAGACAATAGGGTGTGACTTGGCATGCAAATTGCAAGTCGTACGGCATGCAAATCTCATGCCAAGTCGCATCCAGTGTGACCGGGGACTAAAATCAAAACATGACACCATTAGTGCCTGGTCACACTGGTGCGATTTTGAATTTAAATCACATCTAATGAATGTGAATGTCAGTGTCCTAATGTGCGATTTGCTGCAGTGTGATTTTTAAAGTAATTCTTGCATTACTTCTTCTGCAGTTTTGTTTCAATTTCACATACATAGAATATAATGGAAATCGCATGAAATATAAGTGATACTTGTGAGCTAAAATGTGGTATTCCCTCTGTGAAAAAAATCTCTGTGAAAAATCTATAAATAAAAGTTACATTAACAAATATCAATAAAATACTGATGCATTAACACTAAACACATACTCATAAACTGTGCAAAACTAAAATTAAAATTGTATCTATATGTGTCGCGCTCCACAATATATATTAAATAAAAAATAAAAATATATATACCATATGATGTTGTGAAAAATACAAGAATTTATCAATTAACTTATATATCCAAAGAAAGCAGTGGTGCAAGAAAAAGTGCTTCAAACAGTGCAAAAACTTGTGCATGATTGGCTCCCATGCACAGCTGCACCAGATTCTGAATGCTCCAGTTTTAGTAAATCTCCCCCTATGTCTCTTTCTTAACATCTGTTTACATCGGCTATGAGATATTGTTTTCAGTGACTCAGACAACTGATATCGGCATTTTGAATAGGACCAGTGAAGAACAACCGTTCTGTAGGATTACAAAGCAGGAATCAAAGTCTGCTTCGGGGCGGGCAATTACCTTTCCCAAGGGCCACATTAGAAACAGATTTAATTCTGCTCAGTATTAATTTTGCACCTGGGAAGGTACATAAACATAAGGAAAACAAACACCTGGTGCTAGGAATAATAGGTACAACTGCTCATGAACTGAGCCTCTTTCAGATGGGCAGTCGGAGGGATGGTAAAAAAAAGGCAGCTGACCCAAATGTACCCCTTCCCCACGGGGCTGCTGACCCAAACTGTAAAATAACAGATGGACTGGAGGTTTTCATATGCTGTGACCATGCTTTGCTTCGTGGCCACGGCATTTTTAACTTGACCTGCAGAGTTTAACAAGCGACACTGAACTAATTGGAGTTGAATGGGGCTGTGCCGCAACCACATACTATGCACAGGATTGCAGTGTGGTAGTGTAGCATAATAAGGTTAAATCAAGCATTGAGGAGGTAATATAACACTTCCTGTCAAATGCCCTCTAAAAAGCAGTATGATTGGAAGCTGAGGAAGCTGACAGGCTCAGTGGGGCATACTGACAGTGGAGGCATCAGTGGGTGGATAGGGACAGCTAAAGGGCTGGATGTGGCCTTGGGGCCACAATTTGCCCAGGTCTGGTCTACATACATAATAATTAAATATGGCTATCCTTGTATAAATATAAACTATATTCATAATATACATAATTAACTTTCAAATAAAGGCTTTAAAACATCACTGCATATTTATAATATATACTGTATCTCCCAGAAGTGAGTCCACCCCTCACATTTTTGGAAATTTTCACTTAGGGGTGTACTCACTTTTGTTGCCAGCGGTTTAGACATTAATGGCTGTGTGGTTGAGTTAGTTTTAGGGGACAGCAAATTTACACTGTTATACAAGCTGTACACTCACTACTTTACATTGTAGCAAAGTGTCATTTCTTCAATGATATAATAAAATATTTGCAAAAATGTGAGGGGTGTATTCACTTCTGGGAGATACTGTAATTATAATTTATATTAGGCTTTTTTTTATACATTGACTAAACAGTTTGGCACGCTGTTCATATCAAAGGTTCCAGAGTGTCTGATATTGCAAAACTATGAGGACCTAGATAAAATCAAAGCAAAATCGTAGTCATCTATTTACAAGTAATAAAAACATAATTAAAGGTTTGCTTTAATAACTACAGTTTTAAAGATAAATTACAACTTTTCTTTAAGTGTGTCTAACTAGCCAAAAAGGATTTTTTTCTGCTGCTAACATGTTAAATTGTTCCATGTTAAAAACTCTAGATCCAGTACCCACCTAAACTAAATATGGTAGGAATCCCTCACCCTGTTTTCCAGAGTAAGAGATGAAGGGAGAGAGAGTGACATATGTTATGTTAGGAAATGTTAGGAAAGAAAACCTATGATAAGTGTTTGACAACAATTTTCCATTATCCTGCCCCATCTTATGTCCGTATACAAGTGTACAAGTATACGCAAGTGACAATCTGTACCTCTGGGAGGGATAAGACAAGAAAAACAACATCAGAAAACCCATATGCTGCTATTTTTAATTGAGAGATAACGCAGGAGAGAGAACTGAGGTCCCGAAAAATTTGGTTTTATCTGTTTTTTTTTCCAATTTGTAGTGCTGGACAATAGTTTTTGTAGACTTCCAGCTTGTCACTTTGCATACGGCGTCCATCAAGATTTTGGAATACTCTTCCCATGGTACCAATATATCACTAGCTGAATGTGCTCTCACCTCTGCCAGAGAGGAGGAAGACCCACAGAAGAATATGCCAAATGAACTGTTTTGACTATCTAAGAAGAGCTGGTGCCACTGCACCCCACTTTGCCCCCAGTAGCAGCATAACACAGTTATTCACTATCCCCACCTCTTTAGTCCATGATAGGTAGGTGGCAACAGTTTGAACTAAATCTAGCTTCTCCTAATTCCTCTCTTCTGGATTCAACTAGATTCCCAGTTGAAATTAAAAATTGTTCAAACCCTGAAAGAGAGGGTTGCAGAGACCACTTCATACCTGTCAAAGCTGAGAGCACCAAAACGTGTACTTTAATTATCAAGCTGTAGCTTAGATCCTTGTGCAATGATGAAGAAAGAAAGAAAGAAAGAGAGAAAAAGAAAGAAAGAAAGAAAGAAAGAAAGAAAAGAAAGAAAGAAAAGAAAGAAAAAGAAAGAAAGAAAGAAAGAAAGAAAGAAAAGAAAGAAAGAAAGAGAAAGAAGAACCAGGATACGCATGAATGATTTCTGGGTTCAGCAGGTGAAAGGGGTTTTATTTTGCTATTTGAATTACTTCCAGATTCCGAAAAAAAGAACAGATTATCAAAATTTATCTGGCTTGCTGTAGTCTGGTTACAAGTTCAGATGTAAGATCCAAGTTTATCTTTTGTCGTTTATGGATCTCCATATTCCAAATGCTTCAATACCACCTCTTCAAACTACCAAAAACTTTGGATCCATCTTCAGGTTGGGGTAGACTTGACCATTCTGTAAAAGGAATTCCCATTTGAGCCGAAGAGGCAAGGAATGTTCTAGCAGTAGCTGCTTTCTGTAGCAGGTACCATGTTCTTAAAAGCTAAGAAAGGAGAAGTCGAATCGCTTCAGCTACTCCTACTCCCTTATTTTGAGCAGCACTTTTAGGATCAGAGGGTACTATATGTGTGGATGCTGCTGGGTTATATAAAACTATTAGAAAAGTTTTTCAAATTTTACAATGGGGTGCCCTTTTAAAATTATGGAGAGTCTTGAGGCACCCCATTTTAGAATGGGGTGCCTCAAGACTGTCCATAATTTTAAAGAGTGAGTGACTTGACTGAAAAAAGGTTGAGAAACACTAGTGCAGATTGCTGGTAAGGACAATATTTATATAGCCCTAACAGTTTGCACAGCGCTTTACAAAGTGTAGGCAGACAGTACAGTTACAATACAATTTAATGCAAGATGAATTGAATGGGATGAGCTAATACTGAAGCTGGGTATACACTAGTAGAATTTTGTGTGATGATGTTTTTCATTTTAAAAACCTTTGTGCAATTTTCTAATAATTATTAATGTCAAATTAACTTTTTATTTTGATCATAGTAATGGGAAAATTCAAAGGAGCGGGATGGAAATTTTTTTCTCGAAGGAACATATTTTCTGACAGCTGATCTCCTGCTGATCAAAACAAAGTGGGCAGATGACACATCCACGTCCGCTCAGTTTATGCAGAGTGGATATGGACAGAGCCCACTCTGCTCTGTGGGTGGCTGGATGTAAATTGACTCCATCGTCCGTTTACACCCAACTGCCCTCCAATCTGACTAGATGGAGGAGGACAGATCCCCTTCCATTTTTTTTTTTAGCTTACCAGACCGAAGTTAGTTAGGTGTAAATGGACACAAGTTCATTGATACCTGCTGGTCCATAGTGGTGAATGGGCTATCCACTCAAGTCCACCTGAAAAGCAGTAAGATAAAAAATGAAAAACACAATTGTAGTAAAAAGACAGGCTCATCAATAAGCAGAAACCACTCTGTTTGGAAGACATGTCTAATCCAGCCATGTGTACATGAAGTCCATGCTGTTTGGCAGCTAGGGAACTGGATACCAGGCAAGACTAATGGAAATCATACAGACTCTATGCAGATAGACGGGTTGATTTATAAAAATTGTAGATGAAGCACTTTTAAAGTGAATTTTATTTTAGTGAATGAAGTGAAGGTATACTGACTTCAATCATCCAATCATGGTCAGGCAAAAATATATATATTTTTTTTTTCTTGCACATGATTGGATATTCATTACAAAGGGAACTTTCACTTTGTGTCACCTTCTTATTAACACCTTAAAATTCTCTACTTCAGTAAATCAGAGTCAGTGTCTCTGAAAAATTAATCCCGTGGCACCAAAACTGCTTGGCCAATGTGTGGGGGCTGGTCGAGCCACTCCAACTACGCCATGTTTTAAGAAGGTAGACTTGCCACTCACCCATGCACATGGGGTACATTTGGATGTGTGATCGCACCCATCAATGCTTCAGGTGAAGTCAACCTTATGGCGGCTCTCCCAACTTAGAAATGAGCCATACACTGTGTGCAATGATAAATGTAGGGAGTTCCTCTATGAGTGTATCCTCCAGTGTTCTTGCACAGCTTGCT